GATGCATCTCAATTTGACACAGTCAACTTACCCAAGCCTTTTCAAAGTCAAGCCTTCTTGGAGTGCCAGGGCAGACCAGATACTTCTGAACTTCACCAGCAGCACCACATCATCTTCATCAATGTCTTCTTCTTCACCATCACAACCCATGCCAGTCTTTGTACACATCAGGAGAAGGGACTATGTCAAGGTTTTCCAGCTCAGACACTATCCCATCATTTCACCAAGCCTTGTGAGGGACACAATGAAACTCTTTACACATCTCAATAGTGGTGACAAACCACATCTCTTTGTAATTGTCAGTGATGACACTGACTGGGTGCAGAATCACTTGCAGCCACTTTTGCTGGCAGGAAAAGAAGAAACTCATTCAGCATCAGTCATATTGAATGAAGAGTCATCCGAAGTGACATTTGCTGTCATGGCCAAATGCCAAGGTGGTGGCATTGTGACTCAAGGCTCATTTGGACTTTGGGCAGGACTGCTAAGTGGTGGCCCTATCCTCAGGCTCTTGCCAAATGTGTCAGACAATGATCCAAAGAAGACCTACTTCCAAAACATCTATGAAATCCCTCCAAAAGTAACACATTTTATTTACTGATGAACTGATTTCTGCAACAATAGAAATCAATAATCAACCCAGTACACATGAAAAAATAGTGTTTTGCTTCAGATTTGTATTTCTGTTTGTTAGACCAATATCAGCAAGCAGGGATGTCAATTGAACATCAGAACATGACAATCTCAACTCTTTTCACAAGGTCAACGTTGATAATTTTTGACATGGATTGGATTAATGCTATGAATGATGAAAATACAGTACAGTACAGCAGATTGGAAAGGTTATTTTTCAAGAATGTGAGAAAGAATTGAAAAAGTTGCCACCATAATGCAAAAGTTACCATGCTATCCTTTTTTAACTGAAAAACAACCTCTGCTCTTATTTTGGGGCATGATACGTGGATGACAAGAAATATACTTGATGAACTATGCTGATGATTTCAAGGGAAATCTGATGAAACTTTTTCAAGATTTATAATGATTTTTGTGAGGCATATCAGTGGGATATAATTTGTTCATGGTTCAAGAACCAAACTCAAATTATTGTGTATACAAAACTTCAGTCATGTTGTGAAATTTTGGGAACAGTTGTAAGGTTCAAAGTACAGTACTGTAATATAATCCCCAAAGCCTTGTCTTGGATGTTCAAAAGTTATAAATCATGCATTGCTCAGTTGGGACTTTAAGATGTACATAGTGATATGATGCTTTATGTAATACAGTGCCACAAAAAGCAGACTTCTTACACTAACAAACCAGAATCCAGCCATTAATGTGTATTGAGCAGCAAGCATTCAATTGAGGAAAGGACCTTCATGTCAAGAGGGGAACAGGAAAAATTGTTTACAGGTGAACTCTCTGCACAATGATCTTGTCAATAGCAACATGTTCTTGGCACAATTGTCTTGTTTTCCAATAGTTTGCTCTCCATTGCATAGGAGTTCTCTGGAATGAAATTCTCCCAGCAGCACTCTTTTCTGGTCCCTTGACATTTGTTGTAGAGATTCCACCAACATCAAAGTGCCTCTTGTAATGCAGGCAAATCTTTTCAAATTAAACTTCAAAAAATCTCATGTTGAGGAGGTTTTGAGTAGGGACACACAGATTTGCTTCAGGAAAGAAATAATTATAGGAGATTGTAATTGATCATATTCTAGGTCTTGATTTTCTTCATGAATGAGTTGACCTGATGCAGAACTTGGATGCAAGGATACATTTTCCCAACTGATCTTTCACTTTGTTAAAAAATGCATGAAGTTACACTTCCATTGCTTCTCTCTTTCCAGTAGTAGGAAAATAATATCCAAAACGCCCTTACAGAATTTGAGGGGAATGATAGGGAGATTTTTAATGCATGGTTTTTGAAGAATACTCAACAGAGACTGAAACAAATTCAACTTGGGGGGGGGGGGGATTCGAGTTATGAGGGTGCAACTTTTGATATTGATGCCTAATCTTGTTAAGTACAAATGCCATCAAAAAATCTTCTGATGAAAAAATGTGGACCTGTCCGAAATTGAATGAAAACTGGTTTGGTTTACTATACACATTCCTCACTTTGAAACACACACACACAAAAAATAACAGGAACAGAATCAGTTGAAAAACGGATTGTATGTGACCCAATGGGCGGTCGGACGCTTTTTGGCGCTTTCGTGAGAGGTAAACAAGGATTTATAAGATTCCCGCTGCTTAGGATCATACTTCTTTTCTTCGCCTTTTTTCGCGTCAGCAGAAAGTTTCGCCATTTTCGGCTTCGAACTTGGTCCAGCCAATGGCGCGGAATCACTGGCACGCTTGGGCAAAACCACCAGACCTGCAGTGACATCGTCTTCGTCAACTGATTTCTTCACTTTCTTTGATTTCTTGTCCAGCTGAGCCTTTGCACGCCGCGACTCCATGTTGGTTTCCATTAGGATCAGTTCTTCATCGTCCGGATTCAGGATTATAATGTCCTCAGGCAAGAAGGGCTTTTGACACTTGAAAGAATAGAAATACAATACGTTCATTCAAGGATACGATCAATACCGATTTGTTCACGAATCACCAAATATAAATGTACCGCATAAGACGAGCAATAAGTAAATGTGCAGTGGAATCATCGACAGGCGTTCGTGCGCTTAAAATCTCGGGAAAAGAACCTTGAACACAGGCTCTTCATAACTAGGGAAATACGATTTATAAGTTGTCCTCGCAGCAGTCGCACGTAGACTTTACACGGAACGAGGAACTGTACATGAAATAGATAATTTCCAGCAAAAAAGCCTACAAAAAGGTTCGTCTGAATTTTTCGAAGAATGCAACTCTGAACCTTGCGTCTCCCTGGAATCAATGATGAAATACATAGATAAACGTGGGCTCTCTCAACAACGAATTTTTCCATAAAAAGTTCCCTTGAATAACTTTTTTTTTTCGACCCCATAGGCAGGAGAAAAAAATTAGATTTTTTTCTCTCCCCACGTTCACAGGAACCTTCTGTAACGAAGTTCAGGTACCAGAGAAAAAAGTCGTTGTAGAGAAATTCCACCCATATCTACATACGTCCGGACTTGAGAAAGGCATCAATGTGACTCGCAGAAGCCTTTACTCGCGCACAGAAAGGAAAAATTAAAACGTAGAGGCTTCTTTTTTCGGAACATTTAAATAGTGTAGCCGCTATAGCTGAAAATTCAAGTAGCCAGTAAAACAAATTGAAGTGATGGATGTTTCGAGTTTGGGGAAAGAAAGAAGAACTACAGGAAATTTCAACTGATGATATTCAGGGCCTCAAATTGATCCTAAATGAGTGTACAGGAGGCTGAACTTGGAGGCAACGGTTCAATGGCCGAGGTCGTCTTTCACTTCCTGTACAAACACATCATCTTGAATTTTTGATGCGTATGTCTTTTCCGTGTCAGAAAAATAATTGCAGAAAAGCCTCCAGAAAATTTGACTCGTGGAGCCTTGACAGGGGGAAAGCCTTCGAGTTACGGATGTTTTTAATGCATTGTTTCAAGCTTGGAAAAAATTCGACATCGGGAAGTATTCGTCGTAAGAGGGTTCGAATTATCGAGGTCCAACTATATTCTACTGCAGGCAGGCTGAATTCTACTGATTTTGCAGGCTAAAACTGACGCACAAAAAATTTGTATGACAATTTGAATTTCTTGGTGACTGCGACTAACGTTTTATCACTAGCCGAGTGCAACTTCGTGGTCGCTACGGACAAATTAAGAAAATTAATCAAACAGATTATGAACATTCAACTGTACAGGAACCTTCTCTAACATGTTAAAGACAAAACAACGCAAGTACCTCGTGACATTTGGTAGTTTTCACATGCGTCATGGCCCTCTGCGAAAAGACGCACCCGCATGTCCACAAGGCAATAAACTTGTGTCTCCCGTTCATTTCCAACGCAGTAACAGGACACATGAAGTCATGTACCGTCAAAGGTCCACTGATGGGATCATTCTTCGCTCGATTCGGAGTGAGTCGCAACTCACGCACGTCCTACAGATATAACAAAGTATGATTCCTATTCCTTACGGTCATTAATTTCTTGAGATTCACCTTCAATCCTCGAATGTGGGACGCATTCTCTGGCAAAGACTTCGCGATCAGAGCTTCAAGAACGGATTCCTTCGAGTAAAGTTTTCCCACTTCACATACAACGATCGGGGTTTTCAGGGGTTCCTGATTGATGGCGCAGTTTTTCCACTTGAATGCGATAACAGAATCCTTGTCTTTCTACAAGCATGGAGTAAAAAAATATATATTCCCAATTATAATTGATTTACAGACACACAGAAGGTTTTTAAAGTTTTGCCCAGAAAAAAACGTTTCATCTAGTTCAGTCATTCAAGTGTAAGAAATATCCACGATACAAAATGCAAGTCCAAAATCGCACATACGGGATTTGACAAAATCTTTCAAAGTTGACGGAACATTGGTTGCAACTGATTTCAAGACAGGTAAATGAAAGGTTTTTATTAGAGGTCCGATTATCCTAGACATCACACATATTTTTTTCTAAGGAAGATTGAAGCTTTCGGATTTAAAAAAAAAAAAACCACAACGTAAAACCAAGCACATTCCTCTTCCTGTGCGCATGAATATTTAAACGAGATTCATAAGTAAAGAACGGATTTTCAGTTAGAATGGACAGCAAAGAATGCATGAGGAAATTACGCTTTGCCTACAGTTTCAAGCCACAGGAAGGGATGAAAGATGTCGGTCTTACGATGTATGAGACCCTGATAAGAGCTTAATCTTAGTGGAAAACAATCAAAGGGCAGAAAAACTGACTCATTTCACACAATTTCAACTTACCTGTTCTGGCTTCTGCTTAGTTTTAACCAGCTCATCGCGTTTCGGGATGGTTCCGCCATCGCATCCCATTTTATCACAATGCAATCGATAATCACTTCACAAATTCTAGTAAAAAAATAGCAGAAGAAAGATTTACAACGCGAAAAAACTATAGTGATGGGTTTCAGCACTAAATCCACTCGTAGAAAAACTTTAATGGACACCCCAGGCATCCTCAAATGCATCACACAACTTGGTGCACGTCAAGGCAGCGGACAACGGGTAGCTACTGATGGCCATTTCGTCTTCGTGGTAGTCGATCTCAACCTATTAACAGAAAATTCACACATTTTTTTTATAAGCCGAAAGAAGACTATACACGGATTTATCCACCTTCCCGTGAGCCATAGCCCCAACGACAATAACGAGAGGCTCGTCATCAGCCGGAACGAGATCTCTCGCTTTCACGAGTTTTTCGGCGCTGAAGGACATGAGTACTTTCCGAACTCCAGCAGGAAAATGGCTGGTGATGGGGTTCTTGATTACTTTCATGAGCTTGTCTCCAGATTCAGCAGATCGAACGCTGAGCTTGTGCAACAATTGTACTGCGGAAGTTGTCAAGAAATGAATTATCCCATTCGATCCGAGAAGTTAAGAACAGCAAGCTCACCGATGAGCCCAGCAAATCTCGGAAACGTTCGGGGTATCCGCGTTTGCGGATTCACTTCAATTAGAACATTTCTATTTGTATGGATGTATACCTACAAAAAATTTCACCAATTACGTCACTGAATCATGACGTCAACTGACTAAAAAAAACTACCTGAAGCAAGCCGGCGCGATTCAAGGGTGAATCCATGAGCATGAGCAGACACTGATGAGTGATATCAGGACGGGCAGAACCTGCCGTTCTACCGAGTTTTTTCAGTTCACTCGTATGGTCATCTGCATTCAGAAGTTCGAATCCACCGCCAACCTGTAGAATAACAAATGACACGAGTCAGCAACCGGAAACACGCTCTTTAATCAGATACAGTCCTACAAAAAGATGCCATTCAGCACGATGCTCTTCCTGATCGAAAGTTAACCAGGCTATTCAGAGCTTCGTTGCTCGAATCCTGTCCGTGACTTATAGATAACGAAAATGAGAAACGGAATAGAATTATTCCACAAAGCAACTCTACACGTAGCTTGCACAACTGAAAAATTTCGTCGACAGCGGTTTCTGTTTCTTTCAAATGGCTCCTGATGTAAACGCTTCACCGAACAATCCAACGTGAACGCCGATTAACGAAGGATGAAGCAACAAAACTTACACGGATAGATTCCATAAGCGAGTTCTCCAGGACTACAACAAGTCTCTTTCGTTGCGAACGTGCGTGAGGAGTTTGCAAATGACGCGGAGGAAGGTCGATTTGAGATGGATCATCGTCATCCTGTTTTCGTTTTCGACCCATGACGAGGAACTATTATAAACACACGAACTCGCAGTATCTGAACAAAAAACTGACACAATTCAGCTCAGTTCAACAGGCGCGCATCGAACAATAAGCCTCCCGCGGTGGATACTCCCATTAACTCCGGAATTCAGTATAAATGAGTCCTCGGCCAGCGTTACGCAATTTAGCACAGTTTTTGATCAGTCCGACCCCGCAGATGACAACACCACAATTTACCTACACAAATCACTCTTCTTGAACACAGTCGTTCTCGTCAAAGGGTCAAATCCAAGTAATCATTCCTGGTCAGGAACTCCTCCGCTTCACCTCCGATCATAACAAGCATCTCACATGCATAGGTATCTGGGTGGGTGATGCCGTCGGAATAAAATATTTCAATCAATCAGCATAGGTGTCGCTGCTCAAGGTTCCAATGAGGTGCCCCTTGCCCTCATTTGCAAAATAATGCCGATCTTTGAGGGTGCCCTACAAATCTACCAGAAGTGACCAGAACTAATTCATGCGCGCCGCCATAACAATTGACACTCTCACCATATATGACTTAGCAGATGAAATCAAGAATCAACTAACCCACTAAACCCGCCTCTCCAGCAACACTGGCCGGTATAACTCCCCAATACAGTACTGTACTGTACTGCCATGGAATGAATTGCAATACCCTTGTCTGAATCATGCCCAACATCATGGAAAATACAAACAGCAGGCACACTGAAAATAAGGTTGAAGGGATCATGAGATTAAAAAGATAATTTTATTGATGATTCTGCGATAATATTTATCATAAAAATACAGTACTGTATAGCCTATGCCACATTGCCACCTAACTTAAAACCTACTGTGTATGGAAAAAACTTGATCCAAACTGACCACTGGCTGTTGTTAGGTTAGGGTAGGATAAGTTAGTTTAGTTTAGGCCTAAAAAACCTAACCTATCAAGCAATAAAGAAATCCGACCTTATGCCTATAACCTAAATGATAGAATGTATAGTTTTAGTTAATTGCTGCAATATAGCTAGCTCAACGCCCTGTATAGTTGTGCATAATTGGCAAAGCGTCTCTCACAGGATTGCTGGATGCTAAGGAAATTCAAATTATTGGAGAATATTACTTATTTGCTTTGCCAGTAGATGTCACATTTGCATGATACACCGCAGGCATTATATAGGACAGCTAAGTCATCTCTGCTAAAATTGTGCCATTCTATGATGGAAGAGACGACGTACCTGCATGCAGCAGAATCTTACATTTTCCTTCAGAATTGGTAACTTGGATTGCCCTAAGGCCATACAATGGGGCTACTGTATATCCAAGCAAGTACAGTAGTTAACAAGAATGGGTTTTTTATGCGTTTCCATCCCAAATATAAGAATTTGATGCAAAAACCCCGAGTGTGGCTGCATTGGGTCTACCTACGGAAATTATTGTTCATTCAACTGGAGGGAATGGATTTGGATTTGCAAGCCAAAAGAAGCCCTGCTTGTTGAATCCTGGGCTAGACTTACTACCCACAATTGGGCTTTTCAAACTTATAATCAGAATTAATAATCACTAAAACTACCTGGATGAACGTTTTTCTGGTGATCAAAGCTATTTGTTTCGTGGATTTAATTTACATATTTTTTTACCTTTCCACGTTTGACTGCGATGAAACGGGGACTGCTCGCAGTGGAGTGTAAATTAATGGCAAGATATAATGAGTAGCGTGTGGCCATTGTATGTGACCCTTTTCCACACTTTTGCCAGCTCAGCTGCTGCCTTGGCAACCTGTTTCGGGGAAACATTGGGTCTGAATTACCTGTGACCTGACTAAAATTTAAAAAGTTACACCCTATCATATTCCCAAAACCCAGTAATTCTGTTCAACATTTTATCCCTGTATATAGCTGCCCAATGTAAATAGTACTGACATTAATCAATAAATGATCATTAATTTTGATTTTAATAAAAATGACTGCCCTTTTTACTTATGAAATTTGCCTGCAGCTTGGAATATGCCAATCTTGATTTTTCTGAAAAGAGGCTGATGACACCCAAGCAAGGAATTAAAAATCAAAATAAATGTGTTTATTTTGAAGCTTATATCTATTGAAGCTTAGATTTTCTATTTATAATGGCACTTGCTTATGCAAAAATGATTAGACTGGAAATAATGTCTTTGTAAAACTTATTGAAAAATACTTTCAATGCACTACAACAAAAAGCACAAATGAATGTATCCTTAAGAGTGTTTAGATTTACTGACTCTTTGAAGAAAATTAAATAAAATACCTGGCATTTAACAGGTAAGTGTTATTTATGTATCAGTAAATCTCTGATAATTTTTTTTTGTGTGTCCTCAGATGTATAATGTAGCAATTGTTGGGCAGATTTTGACAAAATAAATTGAGAAAAGAATTAAACAGCATGGATTCAGCCATTGTGTGGCTTGGTATAGCTCATAAAGAGGAACCTTCAAAACACAATTAATATCTTCAGAGCAAAAAACATAGCCAAACCCAAATGCAATGGGGCAATTGATGCAAAATGAAAATATGCAATCCAAGACAAGTCACACACAGAGCACACAAATATGAGTTCTTTGCCTTCTCAGAGGATACTTGATGGCCTTCATTTTTTTGGGCAAGAATTTGACAAAATAAATTTAAAAAAAATGAACATGGATTCAGCCATTCTGCAGCCAGGTAGGTACCTCTTACAAAGAGCACTTCAAAATAAATTTAATATCTTCAGAGCAAAAAACAAAACCAAAAAAGTGCAGCTGCTGGGCAATG